CCCTCCCCGAGCTTAGGGGCTGGCAGACCCACTGGAGGAGGATGCAAGACACACTCTGTGTGGGCTAAACCTGCTTCTAGGGCAGCATCAAGGAGGCTAGGCCAGGCTGCATGCAGGGAGAGGGGAGGATTTAGTAGGAAAGCCCTCGTTAAGCATGGAGCACAGCCGTGGAAGACGTATCCATGGTCATCTCACTAAAAGCACTATGCAGCACATGCAGGCTGGATACATGGGTACAAACACAGGGTCCTTTCTCCTCTCCCCCAGCTCCTGTTCCTCAGTCAGGGCTCCTCCTCGCAGCATCCTTCTACCTCCCCAGCCCACCCCTCCCCCCCCCGAGGGAAAAGCCTTGTTTCTGCAGAGCTGAGCCCATCTGACTGGAGGTGAAATGCAGGTGAGGCCTCCTGGGCTGGGAGCCCATCCGTCCTTCTGTCCCTCTGTGCTGCGTCAATCCCGGGGGAGGTTGGGTGGGGGGATTTTTGTTGCAGATGGCTCCACACCCCAGATCTCCCGGGCGTACTCCATGATGGTTCTGTCACTGGAGAACTTGCCCGAGCATGCAATGTTCCTGATGACTTTCTTAGTCCACTCCCGGGGATCCTGGGAAGAGAAAAGGCAATGTCAACAGTCAGTCCCTCACCTGGCTCTGTCCTGGCTCGCAGCCTTGCAGGGCACCAGCTTGGCTGGTTTAAACACCGTGGTGTGAGGTTGCAAAAGCAGCAAACCCTGCCCCATGTCCACACAATGTCATGTAAGAAGGGCTCATCCCCATTTCCCCCTCCCCCCTGCGCTGCCATAGCCAAGGACCCCATCCCTCCCCCTCACTAGTGTTCACCTCTTACCATGAACAGCTTGTCCACTTGGCCTTGGCATTTAATGTAGGCCTCGTAGTCAGCAAACACCTTAAACCTGAAACCAAAGCAGAATAAGGTTAGGGTTTGCCTGCTGTAGGGTCCCAGCCTGGCAGGACAGGGCAATGCAGACATCTTCCCGTGGGCAGGCAGGGCTTAGCCCCTGCCTGGGGGACCCAGGCCAGCTGGAAAGGAGATGCTGGCCAGGACTCACCTGTCATGGTGCATTAGCATGTTCACAACATCCCTGAAGCAACCGGGGTCTCGAGGGGAGAAAAACCCGCTGCTGATCTGGTCAATAGCCTGCCGCAGCTCTGGCAGGTGCTCGTAGTACTCCTGTGCATTGTACCTGTGCCCGGCAGAGACGGGCTGTAAGGAACTGATACTCTCCCCTGGGGCCCAGCACCCGGAGAGCGGGACCTGACGCGTCTGGGGCAGGGAGGGCAGACAAGGATGTTGTATGGCTCCTGAGTGAGGGGCCTTGTTCCTGGGGCTGTGTCCGTCAGAGCACCCTGCTAGTGGCTCCAAGACCTGTGGCAGTGCCTGGAACACTCTGCGCCCAGGCTCACACCCCATTCACAGCCACTGTGATCTGGGAGACCTGCTTGGGCTGCATTCTTGATGGCCCATCCACTGACCAGCCCAGGGAGGACACTGCCTCCAGCCCCCCGCTTTTTCCTGCTCCAGAGGTGGGGTCCTTCCCAGAGATCATAGCTCTCCCTAGCAGAGCTGGGACCTGTATCCCCATCTGACAAGCCCTGGCACACATCAGGTTCTCCCCAGCACTAACCCTTGGCGATCCAGGGCCTCCACATCCTCCACCCGCATGCCAAAGATGAAGAGGTTTTCTTCGCCTGCTTCTTCAGCCATCTCCACATTGGCCCCATCCATGGTACCAATGGTGAGGGCCCCATTCACCATGAACTTCATGTTGCCGGTACCCGAGGCCTCCGTGCCAGCTGTGGAGATCTGCTGGGAGAGATCCGCTGCTGGGATCACTGCCGGGTGCAAGAGAGGTAGGAGTTAATCCTTGGCACACTGCAGCTCCCCTGATCCTGGGCCAAGGACAGCAAAACAACCCTGGGCATTTGCTAGTGGCCCTGCTGACCTCAACCTCAGCCCAAACAGCACGGGCCTGGGGCCAGAGCCAGACTCAGCCCTGCCGCAACCCTAGGCAGCTCCTGTCACTCCTGCATGAAGCTGGCTTCCTGCCCTCTCTGGAGCCCTCAGGCCCTTCCTAAGGGAGAGCCAGGTGACCTGCCATGACAACCTCTCAGGCCAGCCAGTTTCTGGGCTCAGCTGGGACATGCCCAGTTCCTGATGTGTGCTTACACAAGACCAGACGTACCCTTCTCAGCCAAGGATACTCGGTAGTTCTCCAAGAAGATGACCTTGAGCCTGTCCCCCACATACGGATCGTTGTTGATGACCTCACCGATGGACGTGATGAGTTTGATGATCATCTTGGCCATGTGGTAGCCAGGGGCCGCCTGAAGAAGAGCAGCCCAGAAATGGTGAAGGCTTTTAGGGAAGGGAGAGCATGAGAGGTGCCAGTGCAGGTCCTCGCCAGGGGGAGAATCTAGGCCTCACCTCTGTTGTTCACGTGGATCAGCAAAA